AGAGCTGGATACAGAATAAACTTTGTTTTTGCTGAGACCATGTTTACTTCAACTCACAGCCGATAACCAGGACATAAGTTAGTCTCGGTGTCAGTGGAGCTTCATTTTCAGCATCAAAACTACAGACGAAAGGAGTTTTTAGGTTATCTGATGAGGAAAGTAGCTGTTAGTTTCATCCATGCCAACATTATATCATAATAACAAACATTTCCTGCTGTGACATAAGGATGACAACAGTCTCTTTTCTTTCTTTTTTTACGGCAAATTACATTAGTGGGGTGTTGGGATCGGGAATTAAAAAGTTTGCATGTAGGAACTTCGTTATTCATTCATGACAGTGCATTGTGGAATGATCCTGTCTGGCTGGCTGTGTTTTCTTTGTACATTAATGACAGTTGCAAAGGGGCTTTGACCAGGAACAATGCAGTGTTTGAATATAGCTGATCATGTGTTCATGTGTCCCCCTTCAACTCTTTTCCATGCTCCCCTCTATGACTGTGTGCATGTACGTTTTAGTTGTTTTTTTGGCTAATTTCACCCTGACAAACGTATTTTGTGTGACAGTCCACCCTCCATTAATATCTATTTTTCATCAGGAGACTTAATCTGATGTAGTCATGCTTAAACAATGCCTTAGTGGAGAGCAGCATTTTTTCCATTCCAGTTAGGCAAGGCAATGTAGAGAGAAAACAAGTTCATACTAATCTCTTTCATGAGAAAAGTTAACTGAAGGACTTGGATTAATATGCTGTTGGGAAACTGCTCCCTCAGCATTGGATAAAAGGGGATTTGGTCTTGGTGTAAGCTTGGTTTTCCTGCATCTACAAGAACAAAAATACACTGCAAACTTTTACATTAAATGAACCACATACACAAAATGGGGGGGGGGTGAAACACACGCTCTGTGCTTATAAACGTGTTGTTGTACATTGAAACAGTTTGCCAGTTCACTTTGTTTCTTGTGGTAAGGAAACCAAACCACTCGACATTTTCATAATTCTTTTTTTTTTTTTTTAAGTTGATGGAGAAACCTTGCTTGCTTAGTTGATAACCCACTTTTTTCCTACTCTGGTAAGAACTCTCTCAGCAGCTTCATGACATGCAAGAGCACCAAAAAGTAATTTCTACCTGAACTTCTTTTTTTTCAAAGCTACTAAATTTAGGTCAGACATTTAAAAGGATCCGGAGAAGTCATGCAGCCTTAAAACTGCGAGCATGCCTTGTGCACAAGATGGGAAAACAGAGCCTCAGTAATGCTGTTTACTTCAGCGTGTTGTGTGTGTCTGCCAGTGAATACAAATTTGTGCGTGTGTGCTAGCCTCAGCTCATGGTGACGGGCAGGTGTCGGGGAGCATGGAGGTGACACCCTGGACTTCACCGTTTTGGTTTTTAGTTGCAAAGGTTCGGTTGTGTGCTACGTGACACTCGCGTGCCAGCATGACTTACTTCCATTTGCATTAATGGTTGAGTGACCCTCCCCCAAACATGCACACACACACATACATCCTGTTACCTATCGTCACTGCCGCTTGCCTTTGAGGCTGCAAAGGCTGCTCTTTGGTTACTGATTATTTGCAGTATAAGGTCTGTTTACAATTTATCTACAGACGGCCTGTCGCTGACCTACATACAAAGCCCGGCCTGCTATCAGACAAGAGTCAAATGTTAAATAATTATTTATCTGAGGTTGTGAAATCTGAAGATTTACCTCTGTGGCAATTAACCGGACAGCATTTGGTCAACTTTGCAGTGGGGGAGCACACAAACAAATCCCCACAAAACTTTACAGCCACAAGTAGATCTATTCAACTCTTTACCAAATCATACAGTATATCAACTTTAGCCGTGTTTTGTGACTTAAAGGTTAAGAACCCTTTTTCCCATTGAACGGGAATGAACCGAGGAGCGCGAAACCTGCGTTACCAGTTGGCCCAGTTTCTTGTCATTTATCTACTTTCTTATTGTTTATCTGACTCGCAGAGCTTTAATCCAGGAGGGGCCCCTGACCCAGGGCGCACACTATAGACATGAAAAACCTATAACGGCCACACCCATGTCAGCCTGATAAAAGTCTGTATGTATGTCGGTGGGTGGTAGTAGCAGTGGCAGGGGAGTTATAACGTACACAAGGATTACATGCATGGGACAGAGATTGGGCAAAAGAAAAGACAGAATAAGAGCAGAGCCTGTTAGAGTTAAGGAACAAATGCAGGAGCAAAGCGTGGAGCCAAAAGGTTGGAAAGAGAGCAGATACAGAGACGTCAATAAAGCATATTCTGAGAGACACACAAGAGATACAGTGAGGGGTGTGGTGTGTCAGTGGTCTTGCCAGTTTGACTGGATCCTCGGTGTCTGCTTTCAGTCAGCCAGGAGTCCCTCAGTGCTTATTTTAGTTTGACAGAATTAAGTTATAGGTTAATCCTGACAATCCACATAATGGTGCTCATTCAACGGCTTTTCTTCGAGCCGCACGTCATAGTTTTAGGTTATAGTCGCACTGCGCGAGCGACCTGTTCCAGCCCTATATTTACATAGGCAGCTTGGTTAATACATCACTATCAGAATAACAATAATAATAAGACTGATCATCCATTTTACCAGTAGCACAACGCAGTCTGACAACAAACAGGGATACCTGTCAAGAATTGGACTTCACCTTTAATCCGTCCATTTTCATTTACATTTGTATTATAAATTAGTAGTCCGTCATGCAGATCAGTCAGTTTAAAGCCATTTATGGAAGATATCTGATGTGCAATCATGACTTAAGGTTTAAGACTTAATTTGAATAAATTTTCTGAAGTTATTACTACTCAGCGTAAGAATATTTGCATTTAAATCTCGTGTTGTTGACCATTTTTTTACAGATATGTTATGTATTCATTTGTACAATATGGCAGATTTATTATTATCACATGTTCAGTAACACATAGCAGGAAACAAGGGCAACCTCTGTAAGCACTGTATGAGATTTGAAACTGGATGAGCATAGATACTGATACTGAAGTGTTAAAACAGCTCACACTTTGCTATTGACAGCCAGCTCCCTCGGTGGCTGACACTAATCACCATGATGCCTTTCTTTTACAGTTACAAGTCTTTTAGAATTGCTGTGAATTGGAAATCATCACATGAGAACCGCAGCTTTAACCTTCAACAATAAGAGGACTTAGTGGGTGTCATCCACTGTTTCATGCATGACACTCAGTTGAGCACAACTGTGCTCTGTCACCACATCTTGAGGGCCCAAGTGAGTGGGATCAGATCACTCCCACCACACCACAAGGCAAATATTTATTGGTGTGATTAGGACAGAGAGACTGAAAGAGGGATAGGGAGCAAATAAAGCAACATGGGGGATGGGAGCTGGGGAGGGGGTAATTTATAAGATTTATGGTGCGGCACTTCACAAAATGCATGCATCCTGTAATTAAACCCCCCCCCCTTGCCTCCAGCAGGCCTCCACATTAGTTGGCATCCCCCCACAACAACACCACCACCACAACCCTCTTCGGTCCCACAGCCCCCACCCCTCAGTTCCTCCCCTGCCCACTAGATAATAGGATCCTATGGCAGCCTGGCGTCACTAATGAGGGCGGAATACCACAGCTAGGGACAGTCTGTTAGTGGTAAGAAGCCACTGTATACGCCATCCTACGTGGGGCCTTTCATTTTCACTTTTTCTGAGCCGATTCCCCAAAGAAAACGTGGATGTTCATTTGGAAATTGCAGGTTATGAGGATGTGCCACAGTCATTCTCAAGTCAGATTCAGTCTCGCTGTCCAACCTCAAGTTTCAAATGAGTAGGAAGTTCATTTTATCGCACTTCTAGGGACACACAGGTCCTTGTTGTAAGTGTTGGAGAAGGATACCGTTAGAAATGAAGACACTGAGTGTATATATATCCAGTGTGGTATGCATCTTAGCTGAGCAGGCAACATGGGAAACTCTTTGTCATTACTCTGTAGTAATTCCGGGTTTGTTCAACAGGCCCCATTAAGATGACAATCTCAGCCTTGTCTAAGAGTAAATAATCCAATAGACATATGTTACCATCACACGAAAGAAGAGGCTGCTGACCTTTTTTGTGTCAGCGTTGGTGATGTGCTGAGGAGTTATCAGCTCTCTGAACTGGAGTGTGCAACATGAGGCTTTTCAGTGCCTTCTCTGCGAGCTGTGAGCTAGCAGGCCTATTTAGCAACGATATGCTGGGCTCTATTTTCTGTGGTTTTGTTTGTTGGTACTCGGTTGCGCATTGTGTTTCACAACATGCTATTTTCAATAACGCATTATGAAACTTCCTAAACTCATTCCAGTCACTGTGTGATGTCGACAATACTATCATTTTATTGTTGTTTTCTGGGGCTATAGATGTAGTCGTGATCCCGCAAGACACTGAAGCTGCGTTGTTTCACCCTCGCATAAGAGATCAACAGACATCAATAGACAGACCTCTAACAACGTATTTCGCTATCACAGTGAATGGAAAAAAACAACAACCACAGCCTCAATGGCCCCACTGTACTCCTCCGAGCGGGCGCCTCATTTTTACTGCTAACTTTCACTGAACTTTCCGGAGCACCCCCCCCCAACACACACACACACACATACACAGACGCACACACAACTGGAACCACATCAGGTTCTCATCAAGCCACACTGGTCCACTGCATTTCTCTATTTTCCTCTTTGTCATCTCTTCTTTGGTCAGGTGACCAATCTTTTAAGATGTCCATGACTGTCCATGTGACTGCTTGGAATACTTTACTGTTTTGATAGGTTTTTTTTCATACACGCGGGAACCCACTTGTCAAACTTAATGGCACCGGTAGTACTGCTGGGTGGGCTGCCATCGGTACAGTTCAACAACTGGGTGCATCTTAACATGCTGAAATTGAGTTTGTGATGCCGGACCACTCTGACCGCAAGTGTCTGAAAATGTTTGTTGCTGTTAAACACAAAAATAAACTGAGGTTTTGCCTTCATTCTTTTTTTTTTGTTTGTGTCCACAGCTGTATGAACTGGACGGAGACCCAAAGAGAAAAGAGTTTCTTGATGACCTTTTCAGCTTCATGCAAAAAAGGGGTACGTAGCTGTCGATGTGTGAATCTTCCAAACCTGCCAAAGTCTGTCCGCTATTAAAGTGAACCCAACCAAGCCTTTTAACTCTTATCTTGTTAGATTGTATTTCCTCGCTTTATCCCTTCCAGTGCCATAGGCAGCTCTTAATAGTTATATGATGAGGAGGATCCCCCTCCCCCTTCTGCCTCTGACATATGACACAGCACCATCTACTCATCTTTCACTGTGTTGGGTGGGGTCTTTATTCATTTCAGAGATGATTGCTTCTTGGTTACACAGCAACTCATCGTTCCCAGGCTATTACTAGAAAGTACATGTTGTATCAATGCCTATGCATGTATAGGCTTACACTCCAATCTTGCCCACATTTAAAGCACCACACCGACAGGCACACAATCATCAATTGACCAGCAATTGGTGTTTCCCCTCCACATCTGGGTAGATTTTTCTGATCCCGAGGGGAATGCCGGACTGTTTTTGATTTTGTTTTGAGAGGTATTAAAAGACCAAGCAGTGGCTTTGACATGATTCCCCGGACTAAACCCTTGTCAGTGTCACAGGTGGTATCAGGGCTTAGTATCACATCAGGGTGCATTAACTGACATGGCAGACGACAGACATGTGCGCACAACTGAAACACGAGTACAAGATATTTACAGTGTCAGCCACTGCCGGTGGGTGGGTCTGCCATGCCTGCTCTGTGAATCTGAGAGCACCATCTGTAGGCCACACCGATAACTTCTTTGTGCTCATATTTATGTAGCTTGGGTTACTTTAATTAATCATTATTGTTATTTATTATTATTTTGTGAAAAAAGAAATACTGGTTTATTTAGCTTGTAAAACTCACTTAAACTCCATAGATAGATTTTTAAAAGTTATTTCAAGTATGGTAAAAATATCCCCAAAAAGATTAGTCCAGAGATTTTGGACCATTCTGTCCTGCAGCTGAATGTTATCCGAGGCTACTTCTGGTTTCTTTTACCCTCCAGAAACCAGTCTCAGGTTTGAGTTTTGATAACCTGGGTTGACGGAAGCCCACATCTGTGATGTCTCTGTTTATTGGAGGACAATATCTACCGCAATTCAAGTGATGAGGAATGTTACTGTACAAATGCACCAACTTTGGACCAACCACTTTCTGAACATTCTTGAAAAACAGTGAAATTACTTTGAAAATCATTTAAAGAAGTTAGCCCACGATGTAAAGACAAACTGACAAACTGTTTTCTCTCCCCTCATTTTTCTTTGATTATTTGTACCTGACCTTTCCCGTATGTTCGTGTGTTTGCAGGAACCCCTGTGAACCGTATTCCCATCATGGCCAAACAGGTCCTGGACCTGTACATGCTCTACAGGCTGGTGACAGAGAAGGGCGGCCTAGTGGAAGTCATCAACAAGAAACTGTGGAGGGAGATCACCAAGGGACTCAACCTGCCTACCTCAATCACCAGTGCAGCCTTCACTCTTCGCACACAGTCAGTACACGCACACGCCCTCCTGCTTTCGTTTGACTCGAAGTCAAAAGGTTACCCGGTTGCATTGTTTTGCTTGCTTGGTTTGGATTCACCCTGACAGTTAAAAACACAGTTACATGTAACCTGTTTACCGGACAGCTCTGCCAACTGTCACATTGTTGTTGCTTAAGGAAGATTTACCTGTCAAAGCTATATCCCTTAATCCTCATTTTGATCCGTGTTTTACATCTGTGGAAATGTTGCCCATCAGTAGTCAGCAGCTGCTTTGTTTTACAAATTAACCCTTGGGTGTTGAAGTAGCCTCCTGCTGTAGGTTTATATGGCAGGATGTTCTCAATCCTAGTTAGCAAGAGCTCAGATCAGGTCTCCTCTCAATCTCCTCTTACAGGAAGGAGGCTTGTCTGTGTGTGTTAGTAACAGTATTCATTTTCAGCCCAACGCTGAACTTAAATGTTGGAACCTTGCTTTTAAATCTACTTTCTTTTGCAGGTACATGAAGTACCTTTACCCATACGAATGTGACAAGAGAGGCCTGAGCAACCCCAATGAGCTCCAGGCGGCCATCGACAGTAATCGACGGGAAGGTCGACGACAGAGCTTTGGCAGCTCCCTCTTTACTTATTCTCCCAATGGGACACCCACCATGTTGTCCTCACCGAAGGTCTCCACGCCTAGCGTGGGAATGGCAGTGGGCACCAACGGGGCCTCGCTGACCCCCATCCAAAAATTCAAGAAAGGTGGGAAATATAATAAGTATAATTTGAAAGTGACTGAACGGAGACTAAAATTATTGGTATTGATATCGCTAACACAGGAACTTGCCTCAGTCTGAAATTACCTGATGTATGATTGTTTAGTTTCACATACACAATACCAATTCCAGATATAAATCCTTTTTAAAATCTTTTAAGTCTGCAGGCATCATATTAAAATGAAGTTCTCACTTCCTCGTGACTGTTTATAGCTACTTTACGGAACTTTACTTAATCCCAGTTCCAATCGTTTATTATGATACATGTATAAAAATATCTGAATGTATATTTTCTCTTTTTTTTTCCCGGAAGAGGAGGGAAGCCAGCCGCTGCCGGGGGTCAGCATGGCTCGGCTGCCACCGGGAGCTTTGGCAGGCCACTCAGTGGCTGCTGTGCAGGCAGCGGCAGCCCAGGCGGCGATGGTGGCTCAGGTGGCTGCTCTGGAGCAGCTGAGGGACAAACTAGAGGCCGGCGAGCCGCCAGAGAAGAAAATGGCGCTGCCGGCCGAGGAGCATCACCGACTATTGCAGAGAGCGCTGCAACACAACCTGCTGGCCATGACCACTCAGTTACCAATGAACATCCGCATCAACAGTCAAGGTACTGAAAACTTGTCTGAAACATTCAGCTCTCGGCTGAAGAACACAACCGGTCAGACATGATTTCTCTGCTCTCACGGCAGCTGAAAAGGTCTGAGCTAAGCTGTTGCTTTAGGGCATTCCTTTATGTCATCACCCATAGATAAGAACATTGATTGGCTTATTTGAATCTGAGTTTCCAAATATCCAAAAGATGAAGGATTTTGTTAATACATTATCAATATTTCAAGTTTTTTAGTTTGTTTTTTTGTTTCTTTGTTTGTTTTGGACATCCAAAGCCCCATAACGGATCAAATAAGATATAATTCATTTTACACTGATGTTTTTACGGTCACAGCTGACAGGATGAGGGTCATTTGTTAGGAAAAACATCAATATGTGACAATGCCACAGTTCCCAAAGGTACCATGTTAAGTTGACTTTAAAAGAGAAATCAAATATCCTTTCTTAATCATTTTGGGAAGCCCTGTTTGTGTATGCATCATTGAGAATTTTAATCAGTGTAGAGTGTCTTCTCTTAGAGGATGACTTGCATATAGAAGTCACATTTCCTTGTAAAAAAAACACACACAAAGTGGCTTTGAAAAAATCCACAGTATTTCCCTGTACCACAGCTGCTTAGGGCATCATTGTTATCCCTTCTTTCGACAGTTAGTATCTCTATTCACTCTTGTTATCTCGCTAAACCACAGCACCCGGCAGTAAGGAAGTAACTCACTGCAAGCCTATATGTTGACCCGTTTAGCTTATGTATGCACGCAGACATATAGAACATGTGTGTTTGTTCTGCGGGGATTCCCTGCTGCATGCAAACTCTTTGATCAAAAGCAGGGTTTGTCCTGGTTACAGTCTATCTGATGAAACACGCAGTGTTTCTCAGCAAGTGAAAACGCAGGTAAATTCTGGGAAACGGTCTTATGGACACTTTTGAAGAATTCAGTTATAGGGAAGCTTTTCTTATGCAAAATGACTGTGCACTTGCTCTCTTCAGTTCTATGAAATATTAAGGAAGTTATCAAGTTTGGATTTAGAAAAAAAAACAACAACTATTGCCTTCCTGACAGATGGCAGACAAGATTCTGCTCTGAACCTCACCACAAACGGCACAAGCAGCATCAGCATGTCGGTGGAGCTCAATGGAGTTGTGTACACTGGTGAGTATTGGTCATGTGGTACAAGATGTACACCTGATCACCTCTTTCCTTCTTGGTTAACACAACCCTCCATTTCTATTTTTTGTCAACCATGTCCTGTTCAGTATTAAGGCAGTAAAATTGTAACCTTGTAATCCTCAAATTGATATTAAGCTGAACAAAATCCTTTCAAGATTTGGATGTAAAGATAAGATACGCACATTAAGAACGGGGCAAAGCATCAAACAACAACAAGTTTGATGGCTTAGGTCAGCAAAAAGAAGCTCATTTCTTGTTCCTTTTATTCCAATATGTGTTTTTTATTATTACAAAATCTCTTAACCAAGCTTGTGTGCCTCATCATTCTGTTTGAGATGGTTCATGCAAATAGTGTGGTTTTCCTGCTTATCTATGTTAAAAAACATACAGAGAATTGTGGCAGTGTTGTGTCAAGTAGACAACTCCTCATTTGAATGAAGACGAGTGCTAGGCTGAATCATGCAAATGAGGAAAGTCCAGCACCACCTGACGAAGTTTCAATTTATCTTTCATAGTTGGTTTAGAAGAATTTGACTTAATAATAATAATATCATTGTGTGATTTGTGACATATTTGTCCAATTTTATAAAAGGTTATATTAGTTTACATAGTTTTTTTTAACGACTCTGCAAATTGACTTTTTATTGATATACCAGGCCAAATGTGTCCTTCCAGGCTAATGAAGTTCTTTAGTTTATGAACGAATAAATATTTTATTCATTCATTTATTCATTCTATTAAATTTCAGTCCTAACGTTGGAGATTACATTAAACCGGCACATTTCATATTCTGGCATTAATGGTTGGTCTTCCTCATATCTGTGTCTGTCCAGGCGTTCTTTTTGCTCAGGCAGCAGCGGGGGCAGCCTCGGCTGGTGCGTCTGCATCATCCCTCTCCAACAAGCCCGTCAGCAGTCGTGTGGCCCCACAGCAGCAGAACACACCTACCTCAACCTCCAACAACCCCTTGTCTTAACAAATTCCCAGCCTTTCCTTTTTTTTTATTACCACGCTAAGAAAAGCCAAAAAGCAACCTCATTTTCTATATCATCTATGCCAAAAAAAAAGAGAAAAACCATCATCAGTACAGAAAGACAAACTGAAACTCAGCTCACTTGAAGTACACTATCTCAGGTTTTCTCTCACAAACTCACCTCTTTTGTTCTTCATCGCCAAAAGGATTTTTAAAAGAAATATCCCAACTGAGAGCCAGTATATGCTAAACTATAACGTATGCACAATCTGTGAATTATTTATTTCTGCATAAATGTACAGATTAATGGAGAACAACAGAGACGGTAATAACTAGGAAGGCTAAAGAATTGTTTACACACACAAACACAGCTACTGACTGACAATAATGTTTTTATTCTCTAGAGGAGAGTTTTTTTTTTTATTTTATTTGAACTTTTCATTGTCATTATTATCATTATTGTTATTCTCTTTATTGTGTTTTATCATTTAAATCTTTAACAATCCTCTCACTGCAGAAGAAAAATCTATATATTTAGAATTCTATTAAAAAAAAGAAGTATGAATATCCTTTATTTGTAATCAGAAAAGCTTTAAAGGTATGTGTTATTTCTTCAGGGCATATAACAATGTACGGTTGTGACCTCATTTTTCTGTAAAACCAGATAACCTTATGAACATGGCAGCCATTTTGGATCTGTACGGGAGAACAAGTCTAACGCGGGCCTGCGCTCAGGTTGGCAATGAGATGCAAATCATATGGGTGCCACAGGGTGTCCTGTTGGTGCGAGGGGGTCTGCAAGGACCTATCAGAGCCCAGCCAGACTTGATGTGTTAGGCTACTGCACAAAACCGTTTTTTTTTTCTTTTTTTTTTTTTCTTTTATGTGCTTGTTCTTCCAGAGACAGCTGGCTAATATGTATCCAAAATTCACTCCTCTTTATTGATGAAAGGCCAGTTCGAAACGCATTCATGCTAGTCTTGCAGGTAGTTTTGTCAAGCTTGGTGTTCAGAATGGCTTCCTGTAGGAGTAAGGTCTGTGGTGCGGGTGTTTAAATGAGCTCCGTTCATACTTAATGGGAATAACAATAAGTTTTCATGATTGTTCTCAGGTGTGTCTGTTTTGTACAAATTTTCCGCTGTCTTCTATTACACTGGACAGAGTAATGCTTTTCAACTTCTTTGTTTGCTGAAGGATGTGTTTAATCTTTTTCTGACTTGGCCTTCTCGTGGACCGACCGTCTTAAGGTCGGATGCATGCATGTAAATGTAGATGAAAGCCCTCCAATCAGAAATGAAATGATTACCTGTGTTAACTCTGCAGAGAGTGTCCACTAAATCACTGTTAATATGGAGACACTCACAAGGACAATCAGGAGTCAGGTGACACAAGTTGGGCCTCAGGAGAAACCTGACAGATCATCGTCTGTCAAACTGTTTTCTTTGTTTTGTTTTTTTAATGTATTATAGATTACAGGTGCTTTAATCTTTTTTTTTTTTTTTGGGGGTTCGGCTTTTTGTTTTGCATGATGTAGGGCTTCTTCTGATCCAAGTGCTTCTTATCCTGAGCTGTGACGTGGACAGGGTCTCCACGTGAGCGGCTCACCACCTATCAAGGATATAGCAGAGAATGTCTTGTGATCCTCTTGACTGTGCAGCTGTTGCTTAATTGGATCTTTTGACAATATGAGCTGAGAGATAATCAAAACTGTGGCCGTGTGTTTGCTCGTGACTAAGTGTTTGTGCAACTCACAGTTTGATTTATGATGGAGGAGACATCATGTCGCTTCATACGTTGTTGTGTCTCTGCATTTTGAAATCAATCAGTCATTCAGCTTTTTGAACTTTAACCTGTGTTACCTCTGAGACAGGCTGTTAAAGATTGTTACTTACCCCCCCCCCCCCCCCCCCGTCCCTCCCCCAAACACACCCACCCCACTCCACCCCTGACCCCACAGCCATGCCAAGCAGCCTCGTTCCTACTGACGATAGGAAGTAAATCAGGCTTTGTCCGTGGGTTCTGCTCGGAGGCCTTAACACAGCATGAGATGACCAGAGAATGCGCGGTACCTCCATCTAATCAGTTTTTACTGTTCCAGTCAAATATCACCAGATGGCCGTCGCGGCTTTGATTCTGGACTGGCCCCTCAGTGGGAAATCACCACCAGCCGCTCCAAAAACTTTTTTTTTTTAAAGACTCTCCATACCCAATTAAGGGGCATGCTGTCATCCAAATGCCTTTTTTTAACAAAAGTAAATGAACTATCATGCACCATCAAACATATTTTGAAATATTCTTCAAATGCTTCGATCTGAAATACATGTTTTTCCATGAGGATCTATTTAAAAAAAAAAAAAAAAAGTTAAGACTTCAGCATTTGAACATTAAGCCGATGATAAAGGCTGTTGAAATGACACCTTAAACCAGTCTAAACTTTTGGATGCTACTGTTACATTGTAATGTACGCAAACCTTTAGGGAAACATACCAGAAAACAAGGCTTTTTGTGGCCTTTCTTTTTCTTCTAAATTTTGCTTAGCGTTAGCGTTTTGAATTAATTGTAATTATATTGTTTTCTGAATATTTGATTCAAACTGAGCATAGCATTTCTGTGATCTCCAAGCCCAAAGACATGGAAAGGCTGCTGCTCCCATATGTTCATTCTATTTTAAATGAATACCCAGCACTTGCGTTACGTTTATGATTAGACAAGCTCAATTCTCAAGACTTTAAAGCACTGAGAAAGATTTCTCTAGTCTAGGAAACAGAAGTGGGTAAATTTGCTTTGGCTAAATTGTTCTTTTCAGCTAGCCCGGCCTTTTCAGGGTTCTCTGTATGCATTTTTTTTTCCTGGTTTAAGTCCAGGCTTTTTTGTTAAGTATCATTTAATGCGCTGATAGTTTATGTGGTAATGGTGGTATATACATCCTGATTTATAAATAATGGTATAGCGTAAATGTGAATTACAACACAAATCATGGGTGGAAAGGACAGTGTCTCTGAATCTGGCTTATTTTCTATGAACGTACGCATACATTCTCATGGAGAGCAATGTTTCTGCAATTATTTTATTTATTGGTCTGATGGCTCACAGAATGCCCCGTGTTTTTCCTCACGAGTTGCAGGTGTCGCCCTTTCTGGTAATGGCTGACAATCAAATAGACATGCTGCCACTGAATGCACCGTCTGTAGGGGGAGGGCGGCAGGAGAAAACTAAATTCAATCAATCCGGATCTTAAGGATCAACATTGCTTTTTTAGATTTGACCCTGTGACCCTTGGCCCCCAAGGCAATATTCAAACACCTGCCCCCATTCAGTCGATCCTTGTTTATTGTATATCTATTGACTGCTTCTGTGAGATATTTGCATCTGAACAGCGGAGGTACCACAGCTCTCCTCTCTCTGTGTGCATGGCAGCATTTTCAGGGAAGGCTGGAATGTTTTTTAATTGCGTGGTAGCGACAATCAGGAGACATTAAGGCAAGACTGTATACCTCTTAACACTCGACATCCTCCCAACCACAACCAAGCCCCACTTCTACCTCAAGGACTAGAGCTTTTGCAGATTGCTTCTCAACCACCACAACAGAGAATCCTGCTGTAAGGTGCAGGAAAACCTCATTAAACTGATATTGATGCAGGTTCACAAAGAATGAAAGAGATTGTAATAACCACAGACAATCAGATATCGGCTTATATGTGATTTTCACCTTGAATCAATGATCATTTTAGTTATGCAAGAGGTGGAAGAAGGAGTGGGGGGGGCATCTTCCAGCCTCAGCCTCTTGGGTATGAGCGCCCCTCAGTGGTGTTTATTATCATGATGCACAATCAGTTACGTTTCTTTCTGAAATACCAATAGAAAAAAGTTGAATGGCTTCAGATATTACTTGTACCTCAATGAAAATATCAAATGTCAGTGTATCATCCCAGTGTTTCAAGGGTTTGTGGCTGTTTTGGTATAAAAAAGCCTCTGAATCAGTATTCAGATGATTAAGGAACACTAATACTCCTGAAACCAGACATGGTGTCTCACAGAGTCGACACCCTTTGAAGGCTATTAAATACCGAAGAAGGAAATGTCCAAATCAGTGTAATGTTCAGTAACCAGGCGTCCCTTCATTCTTTCAGAATATCCCCCATCAGAAGTTGCCGATTTCTAAAGTCACATCATAGCAGTGGAATTTTGCAGAGTAACTGTGTAGCACCTTGTGTGACACTTAGACTTCTTCGGATTTTGAAAAAGCAGATATCAGCTCAGGTTGTTTTGGGTTTTTTTTCCTGAGTTTTGCATCTGTTTGTCTGTAGGCAGTTCTTCTCATACAGCCTGCGAGTGTTCTTCATCTTTAGATGAAGACTCTATTCTATTGGCAGGGTTCAATCTTTGTTGTGTGGTTATGCAGTCAAAAGCCTGAATTGCTTTCTCAAGTCTGCTTGTTTTTCATGCTGTTGTACAGACTAAAACTGAGACTTAGCAAGTACATTTTGTTTGTCTTTGAAGTAACTTTCCAGAACAATAAATATACGCACAAATCCTCAGACTCTTGTGATTGGCTTGTGCTTTATGTCAAATCCTCTTAATTTAAAGAGACCATAACCTTTAAAAAAAAAAAAAGAAATAACTGCTGCTTTTCAACCCACCGTAGCTGTAGATAGAATCGTTTGTAGAAATCTTGCTTGGTCCAGAGCATCTTGCACGGAGAGTTGACTCCGACTCCCGCTCCCACATGCCTCTGTCATGGACATTCAGCCGGAGCGTTTACGGGTTGAGCTGCATGTGAGTTCAGGGCTCTTTAGACTTCATCACTGACTTGACTTCCATCGTGTGGACTGTGGGCAGGAACAATGATGATGAGAAATAAAACGAGATGCCTTCTGCTGTGACAATTGTATGAATTAACCTGTATTACTAAGATTCATTAAGTAGATTGTTTCTGAAATATGGCTTTGTAGGGCTATGGATTATATTGTGTTTATACTGTTTGTTTTTTGCTATTTCTTTGCTTTCTTTTTGACATGCTTTAGCAACTGAGGCACACAGAGATTACTTCGAGATTTATTAAAACAACAATGGTGATGACGATTTTAAAACAATGTGATTTTTTTTTTCGGGAAGCCTGTGATGTATGTGCGTGTATGTGTGTGTGTTTCTGTGTGTGTGTGTTAGGAGTTTCAGGTGTCTATTGAGTATCTTTTGAACGGAAACAAGGCGTGTCTATGGTGTCTTACATATTCTCAGGAAAATCTACCTCTACCTCCAGTTTGATGCATCTAACCCGGCTCAAGTTGCTGTTCAGTGGGAGGGGAGGGAACAAGGACGAGCACAGGGGTCCCAAATAAACTTTAGCTAACCAGAATGAAAATTAACACTGTTCTCTGGCATCACATGAGAGCTGGAAACTGTAATTGTGTTACAATCTGCTGGATGCAAACAAAGGATCCTGTCGCCCCGGATTCCCACGTTAACTTCTAACACCACGATGGCTCCTTTTGTGCTCGCCTCTTGTCTGTTACACAGTCGTAACACTTCTGCTCTCCAGTACATTTGAGGACCAACAGCGGGGAACCCAAAACTCAACAGCTAACTACTACTAAGTACTACAACAAGTACTGCTTCTTGTACCACTGTCAGTACAGCAAGTCTGTTTTTCGAGTTTTTCTGTCCGCTCTCTTCATGTGTGCTTCTTCCTCTTTTTTCTTTAAATGATTACATTTTTGATGAATGGGATATTTCCCGCCATCCACCGCAAAAGTGAAGTGGCAGCGGGCAATGCAAGTTTTTTTCTTTCTTTGTTTGTGTTGTTTAGATTTCTGAAGGGTGAAGAACATTTTTTTTGCCTATTTACTCATATGTGTTTGTGTGAATACAATTTTGGATCTGAAAATAAATAAAATATCACCTTTCTTAAATGTCATCAAAGCTTTGGAAGTTATTTACCGTCCTCTATGACGGCATCTGTAGCCAAATGTTCAGAAGTTTATAATATTATCTGATATTTATCTTATTAAGCAAGCATGCAGCATGTACAGATGGTAGGCAGAATAAAGGAATAAGCTGAGTGATGAGTGTTTTTAGCTGTCTGTGACAACTTGAACATACCATCAATAACAATGATACTGCTTTGGACTTGTTGGAAATCATATCCATCTGGTAGGTTTCAGTTTATGAGGAGTTCTTTCTCTTCATAGACTTCTTTTTTCTGTCCAGGGTGACCCCGCCTCTCGCCCATTGACCACAGGGATAAGCTCCAGTTCTCCCGCGACCCCATTAGGGAATAAGCGGTAACGATAATGGAAAGATGGATGGACTTCTTTCCCACAGGGGTCCTGCAATTGTCATCAAGAAACTCAGCCATTTCCTTCCATAATGTCCAAAAATCCTTAGAGATTCACTGTCAGTGCATTCATTTATTCTGGATGGTATTACTTATTCCTAAACTTACTAAAGGTATTGACCTGTGTATTTTTTTTCATATACATAAATCAAATCAATTGCCCTTTAAGATGCATGCCCAAAGGATTTTTTGAAAATTAAGTAGTAGATTGTTTTTGTATTTTTCTTTACATAAAGCTTTAACTTCATGCTTTACTGTTATTTAAATGTACAACACTGGATCGCACTTTACTTGAAGCGCTAAATTTGAAATATACATCATCATCTGCCTGGATGTCCCTCATTGATCTACAGGGTTTAGATTTGACCCCATGACCTGTGAATGGTAGCACTGTCATCCTGGAGGACACCACTTCCATCACAATGGAAAGGTTTCTGTGCTGAATGAAAAGACCACTTAGAAGAATTTTTCATTGATTTGCTGCAAGCCATCCCTCTAACAACCAATAAAATCCCTCTCACAGCGTAACCGTGCCATCTGATAATCTAATTGAAGGGTCAAGAGTTCATATTTCTGTGTCCAAAACCTCACAAATTAACTTTCTTTTTTCATTCTTTTAAAACATTCTCAAGGATTTGTTTAAAAACAGTTTCATCAATTTATATGTTTTTTTTAAAGAAAAAAACTATACAGAGAATATTTTGTGTTCAAATGTATTTTGTCCTATTGTTGACACCTGGTTACATCTTCGTGTTTACATAAAGGGCAATCATTCTTAGATACGTATTAGTAGTAGTAGTAGTAATGATAGTGTTTGTAGTTGTAATATAGCTTTCAGAAAAAAAAAAAGGTTTTAGTCACCATGGTTCTAAATGTAATAATTTGTTTACTAAAAATATTTGCTATTGAAAAGCCAAATTAACAAACATATTTCTATTTTCCTTTCATATATTTATTTTCATTCTCATAAGGCATGCTTTATCATCACGCGGAAAATAAACGGTAAACTGCTTTTGGTCTATGCCTAAAACGAGGCTTCTGTGTCGACCCAGATATTTCCTGTCACACGTGGTCTCATAAAAACACAGGACAACGTGACTTTTACCTCTTGTTGACGCTGGAACGTCACCGCCCCTCAAAAACTGTCCGTTGCGTTCAACCTAACCATAGACATGTATACGTAGATGCCGCGTTGAGCCTGTTCGTCCGTTGCAGCGATACGTCAACGAGTCCGCCATCTTGGATGTGGCAGAACTGCCCGTAAACTAATAAAATAAAACGGACTGAACTCCATAAAACGCCTTTCTACAAAGTGCTTTGAGTTAATGCACCTTATTTTCCCATTCACACACACAATAATTTATCTGGCAAATAAATAGGCACAAAAAAACGTACGTAACTTTTAAAGTGATGATTATACACTTTTACTCCTGATGTTTAGGATATAAGGAAGCACCAAACCAGCGTCTGCACTTTTAATGCTGAGTGTTTTCAGGTACTGATATGTGATAACCAGATCCTGAAAAGTAGATGTGGTTTTCTGGATAAAGAGCACAAACATTTACACTTAACTGATTTTGATTAAACCTCCCCTGACCGCACGTCCCATTAATATATATACACAGCTATACAATTGTAGTCTGTGTGGGTGTGCAAGTTGGAAACCTTTGAAAAGAACAATTTTGCTCAGATTATTTCGTATGTTGGAACTCGGCATCTTAAGGGTGTTCAGTTTGGCCGTTTTGGCCTTAGTTTGTGGAATCACATCCTTTGTTTTTTAGGGTGAGCAGCTCTGATGGTGCGGGTACAGCATCAGAGACCAAACTACCTCGGCATACTTTACAGGACAGCCTTTGGAGAAGTTGGCGGACATAAAACCCTGAGATTTACACCGGTTCACTGTCTGAGCGCTGACTCCGATTCTCCACTTTGCCACATTCAAGATGGCGGCAACGTCGACGTACGACGCAGCCCTCAATGCGGAGTCTATGTATATATGTCTATGAACCTAACGTATTCCAGAAATTTAAAACACGTTCAATGAGTCCAGATATCGCGGGGTTGAGCGGGGCGGAGCTAAAGTGACGAAACGCCCTCTGTCGGGACTGGGGCAAAGAAGAAAAGCAAAGCAACTGTAAAGAAAAGATAGGAAACAACGGAACCATTTGTGTTTTGGATGCTTGTATTCTACATGTGTGGCAGATAAAATGAAGCTTAGATCTAAAAGAATAATTGCTGCTTGTCCTGAGACGCCAAAGAGTAGTCGTCGACGGTCCGAAAGAGGGACACCAAGACAAACGCGTCCGTCGGTGTCTGCGGCCGAAAGTCTGCTCCAAACCAAGGTAACATTGAAGGGTTTAACACCGTTACCCACAAAGTGCGTTGCCTCTCATATTTTGATTGTAACAGTAAACACATTTGACGCAGAATGGGCTGTGATAGAAGTGGCTCCGTTTTTCGAATGTTCGATTAGCCGACGTGTGTTTGGCTAGCTAGCCGCAGCGTTTCAAAACAGCAGACTGTTGCTAACGAACGTTAGCTGGCGATGTGTTCAAGAAGCCGCCAGACGAGCCGTTCAATAACAATTCATATATTTACCAAGCCACATTTTTTTTCACATGGACAGGGTTAAGTCTAGCCACTACCTAGATAGCTTAAGTGTTGCCGCAAAGCTTTCTTTCGGTGGGGGCGTCTTAAACACGATTTGTGTCTGATGTTTTGGGAAAACTATTAGTTCGGCTTGTAGGTCATTTTGAACGCTTCCTCGTGTGGCCTTGTGGGATGTTTTCCATTAAAATGCTCAAGACGGAGATAAGTTAGTTGTTGACACGTGTAGCTAATAATTTCTGTAAGTGTGTAATGATAAGACAATACCTTTTCAAATCTACTCAGTATTATCAAAGATAAAGAAACCCAGTAAATGCACCTAGTGGAAGGTTTGGGGTTTGTTTGTTTCCATCAGCGTGAGCCTAACCTCAAACACAAAGGTGCATTATATTGGCAAAAAAATTGCATTGAAATTAATTTTAAGTATTGATTATTTCAATGTTAAAAAACCTGATATGCTGAGCTATCAGGTATGCTTTTTGTTTCTGCGCATCTATTTGTGCATTGACCTTTTTTCAGAAGATCGAAATTATGAGTCCTCGTGTTGTGGCAACAAGTGTGTGACAGGCTGTGCACAGTATTTCCCATACACATGAATCCTTTTCCAGATTTTTTTTTGTTTTTTGTCGTTAATGTCATTCACGATCCAAAGTTTGTGTTAATGCATCCAATAAAGCAGCTCTTGTTCACATATCTTTCTGGTTTGTTTTGCTACTAAAAGACTATATCTGTGCCGAATGCAATGGCGTGACAGCACGTCATGTGCATAGTGATGTGGAGTTTAGGTTCTGCCTGAGCTGTGGAGCCCCCACACTTTTGGGTGGAAGAAGGACAGTGGTCAAATGAATAATTTTGGCCGGTCAGATTGTTTTGAAGTAGTCAAAAATTGATTTTTTGCATTTTGCCCGCACAGGATGAAGACCCCTTGGAAAACCTCTCTGATGATGAAGTTCCCACATTGAGGAGGCGGGCGCTGCCTCGCGGCCGGGCAAGAAAGAGAGCTATTGCCGTCGGCGACAGAGAGTCCGGTATGTTTGCACCAACAGAGGACTCAATCAACAATAAGGTCAATGTGCTATTCTATCGATGATTGCAGCTTTTTAGAGTCTAACTGATCTCATTTTCCTCATGTGGAGTAGATCTTAGCTTCAAAACTCCTCTTAGGCCCATAAGCCATGAGCGTATCCCATCAGAGGGTGGCGTGGCAAGTCCCCGCAACTCCACCGCCCGGAACATCTACTCGCCCATTGTTCGTTTCCTCACACCCAGCAAAGAGAGTGAGTAAAAACGTGGACTTCTGCTCTGAGGAAAGGGAAACTTTGATCATCATTTTCCCTCTTTTATACTGTGGATGCAACCTGTTTACTGTGTTTATTGTCCTGATTCGATGACCTCGTACCAGAGTAGTATTTGCCAGGCTTGCAGGGAACAAAAAAGTCAAAAAGCTGTCTGCCTGTCTTGGTGTGGGAAGTTGACCTTTGAACTGAATTTTAAGTTAGTGAAGAGTTAAACAATCACCATGTGACAATGATGGCAACGAGACATGTTTGGGTGGGAGCTATTCGACGGGAGGCTTGGCGGTCTCGGCACATACGATTCTCATCACTCAGATTGCTATCTTTGTCTTTTTTTTCTATCCAGATTTAAAGAGTCCCGGAACAGGGAACAGCGTACTAATGAGCCCAGAACAAGGTGTGTTTGGATATGGCTCCATTGATCTTCTGGCAGGAGACGAGGATGATGATGTCTTTGATCCGTAAGTGGGATTTAAATATTATGGTCTGTTGTCTTGTTGCTTATTCCCTCATATTAGGGATGAGAGAGGTTGGCTCACAAGCTTGTTCATTCTCATTGTATTTTAAAAAGTCATTCAACAGTGCATTTATTATACCGTTTTGAAAACATCTTTGTAACATGGGGAGGATACTTCTCCAGAATTTGTGTTTTGGTAGTTAACATCAAGCAGATGAGTGCCTTAAACTTTGCCTCATTCCTTTCCACTTTCAGGTTCATTTTTATCAAGAACATTCCATCCCAATCTCAGCATTCCCAGCCACGTATCAGAGATATTCCCCCCAAGACCAGGAGCACTCCGGAGGGCACGCTGGTGGTGGACCTGGTGGGTTGAGTCCCCTGTTTTCCCATCCTCTGGATACACACCCGCTCTAGTGTTTGGAAAGCAAACGTCTATTTTTCTATAAATCTAGTTACTAGCCAGTGAGATGCTAACTAGTTATTGATTGGACAGCGATGGGGGGGAACGAACAGGCAGCAGTTCATGTGTCATCCAGTAATTTACTGCATCAGCTCCCTTTGACAAGCTGATGTGAGAGCTGATCGATAGCACAGCGAGGGGGCCAGAGGCCGGACAGCTCCACAGTTTGGCAAGTTATCGTTTGCCCTGCTTTGCACTGTTTCTGTTTTCACAAGATTTAGTTCTGTGTGTGGGACAACGTGTGTCCCGGTCTGAACGGTTTAGTTTCGGTGGTCGGTGACTGAGGGTTGCTGTTGTCAGTGCTCAGTGTGACGTTGCAGAGTAGTTCTTTAAAAGCCCCGGGAAGCATCCGGAAGCACATGTATAGCTACCATAGTCTTAATGGTCTTCGTGTGAGTGGTGAATCCAGATATGCAGCCACAAGAGTTGAGCTCAGTGTGCTCAGAGCCATTATATTTTCACTTGGACCCTGTTAATGTGGGGAATCGACAGGGCCAGTGAGGGAAGCAGCACGCCGCCAGTGTGAAGCCGTTTGTGTAACAAAGTCATGAGTCATGAACCGCAGCAGACGACTTCATTAGGGCGAGATTAAAAACAGCGGTGCGGGATCCCAGACGTGTCTACGGCAGCCTGGACGTGTCTGTGTGGAGCCCCCCCCCCCCTCTGTGCACTGGTGCTCAACAGGAAACGTCTCCCCGCCGTTGGCTCCTTCCACAGCCAGCTTGCGGCCAAGTGCGCTTCAGACGCCTGGAAGCGTTCCTGCTTCATCCAGAGGCTGATTACAGATAGAGAGAGGTTTTCTGTTGCACTGCAGCATGGGTTTGAGGGCTTGTGTCTGTGATCAATGTGCTGGAGTGTGGTTGCGAAACAGACAATAAGACTTTTTCAGCAGAACAAGTCTTCGGGTTTTTGTGTCAAAACTAACTGAGGCTTATTGGTGGTCTTCCCAGGAGGAAACCCTGATGTTCAGCTCTCTGACTGTGATCGACGAGGCAGATTACACCTTCTACACGCCTTTCCAGGATCACCAGTACAAGGTAACCACACCAGGGTGCTCTTTACAAACCCTGCTCATTGTTGTTTGTTTCTGTTTCATCATTCTGATCCTTCATCTGTCAGATTTCTAGCTGAATAAGATTGTTTTATAAGAATGTAGATTAACCCTCTTCTAAGTTGCGTTTTATGCTTAAAAATGCCAGTGAATCGGTTATTGATGACCTCTTTAGATCCGCCTCAGATTTCACGCTGTTTGCTCACATATTTGCACTGATGGAAAAAGTTATGGATTTAAAGGTACTTGTTTTATGGCAGAAGTGAAGCAGCAGTAAAAGGGAGATTTTATCCTTGGATATAATGTGTGTAACTTTTTTTTTAACGTAATTATTCCCCTTGTGTCTGATACAGGTGTACATGATCCTCCGCCCACACGTCAGGGAGTTTCTGCAGGCCATGGCTAAAGTCTATGAGGTACGTCTCATTAATTCTAACAGTTCTGCTAGCTTGGAAAGCTTCAGAGAAATGTGTTTGGCCTCCGTTTGTTTTCCCCGTCTTTGATCGTAGTGGCTGCTGTCTTTTTTTTTTTAATGTTTTTTTCACAGCTGTTTGTCTACACGTGCGCAAAGAAAGAATATGCAGAGAAGATCCTGGAGATCCTGGACCCTCAGAGGAAGCTGTTCCGGTACGTTCAGCAGCCGGCCGACCTCTGCGACACAGCCCCTGTTTTATTGTGCATTTGGGGGTGGGGGGGGCAGTTAGTTTTCCACCAGCCTCCTGTGGTTAGTGACACATTGACGGGTTCCCTTTCAGACACCGTCTGTACCAGGACGACTGCGCCTGCGTCGTCGGACACTACATCAAAGATCTCAACGTGCTCGGGAGGGACCTCACAAAGACGGTGGTTCTGGACAACGCCCCCCACACGTACCCTTACAACGTAAGCCCGGAGGGGAGTTCACGCTGATGTTTCTGATCCACTCAAGATTGTGACGGCTGCAGCGTGCCGTTTCTCCGTGCTTTTGTCTTCCAAATCTGCTGGTTCCCTGATAGGCAGCTGTTCTGTTAGAAACATGCTGCTGTTATCAGCAGTCCAGTTGGATTCCTTCAGACCTCCAATTGCTGAAATACCAGTGAGACGAGGGGTGGTTTCCACATCCATAGCATCAAGTATTCTGAAAGCGATTTTTTTATTGTAACTAGTAACTACTTTTTTTATTAGTAATGCGTTCTACAGTGCTCAGAACAGAACCATACCGCTGTGTCCTGGTTTGACATCGCGTTTATCAGCTTAAACGGGAGGTTCTTGGCTTTTGGAGCTGCCGCCTGCTGCACTGACTCTCTGCGGGATTTTGTCCGGCGAGGAGAGGAAGCCGTCTGTTCACCTTTTTGTGTCGTTTTTGCAGCTGATGAACACGATACCGATCAAGAGCTGGTCCGGGCAGCCGGAGGACAGAGAGCTGCAGAAGCTCATCCCCTACATGGAGAAACTGGCTGCAGCTGTAAGTCTTTTTTACAATTTAATTTTAGTTTGGTGTTAAACTTGTTAACTCTGCTTCTCATGCACAGGCCCTGATTTCCTTCTCTTTTTTTTTCCTTCTTCTTTTTTTTTTTCACTTTCAAAGCAAGCAGCTGTTTCTAATAAAAATAGATCTGAACCATGGCTGTATTTTACACGCTGGGCTCTGATCAGCCGAACAACAAGCTGCTGAACACAGTCGAGCATTTAGCAGCTCCAGATCTCTCCCTCAGGCCACGAGTAACAAACAGACCCTAGAGAGGATCTGCCAGACTTTCATCTGTCTTCTTCCCCTTCTAAGTTTAAAGCTTACGTTTAATAAATGTCTGATCTGTGAACGAGCGGATTGGTAGTATTCTCGCTTGTTTCTGCTGCCCGCGTGTGGCCACCATGTGTCCATGCAGGCGCGTGGAGAGGTCATAGACTTTCTCTCTTTAACAGAAAAACTATTGGCTTTATGGGTCAGTATTTTCTGAACTCAGCTTTTTTGTTTTGGTCTTGGTTTTATATTTGTACGTGTTTGTTTTTTTGTTTTTGTCCACATTAAACAGGCTGCAAGGGAATTATAGAGACAAGAAATAGACTCAATCAAAAGGGTCAGGAGCTGCTTGCTCTTTATGAGGAAGCTGAATTACTATGTCAGCATCGACTGTGAAAATAAACTTTTGGCATTTCAGATCTGTAGGAATTGTGCTCCAGTATTTTTACTTTCACTGTTTGAGCGCAGAAGTTAAACAATGCTGAGTGCAGCCTGAGGGGGGGAAAAAACTAAAAGCTTTTTCAGCCATCCAGTTGGGAGCAGAACAGCCGGTTATCTGCAGCAGCATCTGCCCGCTGTCTTTCCTCCCCCCCACCCCACCCCCCAGCTTCAAAGTTGGGCCTGAATATCTCCCACTGTGTTTTTTCAGGAGGATTTTCAGGAGGTGTTGAAGAAGAGGAAGGATCACATACACCGGCTGCTGTCGGAGGACTGATGACACGGCTCCCTTTGGCTGCTTCACGTGACTGTCGCAGCTCCTGTCGGCTATCATTTCTGCTTTGGTAAACAAGCGGACTCCAGGTGGACTGCGGTGCACTGTTGGGGTGTGACCGGCCCGCCTGCCCTCCTCTGATGTGGACCTGAAGCGGCAGCGCGTTGGAAATGTGCTGCTGAGCCACTGATGCTCCAGCTGGACTCATTCCACAAATAAACTGCTAACCTGTACATATATTTACAAAACAAAACGTGAAATTTCTTGTTTATAGTCATAATTTTCTATTTATTGATTATATAACTAATCAACTGCTGTTATGTGTACATTTTAGAAATGCTTTTTTATGCAATAAATGGACCCTAATACAGTCCTTTTGACTGTCGTCTACTTTTATTCCATCGCTTTCTCTTTTTTGGATTTATAAGTTAACAAAATATCCAGTTCATCTTTGTTTTGGCAACATTAAGACGGCTCCAGATGCACACAAAACATATGGGGGGGGCATGATCGAGTTACACATGTTCCATTGCACACAAGAGTGTAAAGGTAATTCTGAATACATAAATAAAAGCCCAAGATTGTATTTAGTACAGGAATTGTCGCCTTTTTCACATTTCTGGAATTTTTTACATTTTTTAATGCCACAAGTGAAAAGGTGGAAAAGAACAAAGATCTTACTGAGTGACCAGACTGAACATTTAAACACCACAACTTGAGAATAGCTGTAAAACTACCCCTCACCTCTCACGCCTGATTAAGCGGGCGTAGTTGTGCAGCTTTTAGATCTCTGCAAAGCACATAGAGGAGCTCCTCTGTGATATCTGAGTTATTAAGCCTCCCGTTGCAACTGCAAACACTCATCCTGTTTATGGGTCTTAGAGGAGAGCGGGAGTTTAGTCTCCGTGTAAATGTTTACTCTCGTGTTTAGACAAACTTGTGTTTGTGATGGATGTGATTGTTAATGTTGAATGTGAAGGTAAACTGAGAGGAAACGTCTCCTCCTCCCTCCGCCGACCCTCCTCTGCTTATTTGCTCCATATGGTGTTTGACATGGTACCCGGGAAGGGGGTGGGGGGGGCGGAGGGGGGGGAAACGTGTGTGGGCGGAGGAAAAGCCTAGTATTTTGTCCGTCCTGAAATTTGATTCAGAAGTTCAGGATCCTGAAAGACAAAAAGCAAACGGAGGGGGAGGGAAGAAAAGGCAGACAAGGACGGAGAGGGTTTTTTTTTCAACTGCGAGGAGAGGAAAACTCACCTAAATCCGTCGAAGACCCCCAAACCCAAGTAAGTTGACCCAAAGGAAAAAAGTGTTTGTGAGTCAGATACTCTCGGCTTGGTATTTCACTGAGACAAATAAAGCCGCGTTTATGTCTGCAGCCCCTCAGTCAGCTGCGTTAATTGCTTCTGAATGGCCACAAGATTGAGGATTTGTGAATGACCCGTGTGTACTTTACGCACGGCTTCACGCAGGCTCGGCGCCTCATGTGATTTATTCATCAATAAACGCGGCATTTCCTGCTCCACTGGCTTTGTGGAGCTGTAAAAGTTGGAAGTTTTTTTGGGTTGAAGAGTTGCTCGGCAGCGAAAAAGTCATTTTTTCTGCGGGGGAGTGAGGGCACGTTGGCCCCCTTCACGCGCCTTTCCCCATCCAAGCCTGCCCCGCGACGCCCGCCTCGAGATTTTCTCCCTTCCGACAGTAGTAGAGCCCGACGCCTCCTAATTGCGCTCTATACATGGTAAAGTCCTCATTTTGTTTGGATAACGATCGTCTCCGCAGACTTTTTGCGTGCAGACTCTGCGCCGCAGCTGGACGTGCGCCAAGGAGTCCGAGAGAAAATGCCCCGAATTCAATCTGCAGATGTGAAACGGTTCAAACACGCGCAAGCCCCTACAAAGGCGCGTGATTGGTGCCATTTTACTCACATCTGACCGATGCTTTTATCAAGTGGGTGATTGTTTGGCCTTTTTTTATTTATTCATTCAGGTAAATGAACTCAATAGGCACAATTTAAAAAAAGGGACCAATAAGCCTTAATTTAGGTTTAGTGCAAAGGAACTTTTGGGGTATTATTGTGTCTTTGTACTGATTATGCAGATTAAATCTGTCAAGTTAACTTTGCCTTAAAAAAAAAAACAGGTAATAAATCTTCTATAATATGTTTAAAAAAATTACTACAGATCACTGAATGAAACAGGATCAAATGTAATTATTCTCTAATAGAAAGGTTCAAGCCACTTAAAGTCATATAAGACAGTAATAAAAAGCTGTGTACAATATCTTAAACATATTCAAACATTATTATTGTATATTACGATAATTTAGACTTAAAGTTATCTCAAAGTCTGAGTATTTCTATCTATCTATCTATCTATCTATCTATCTATCTATCTATCTATCTATCTATCTATCTAT